TGAAAAGTCCTACACCCGGAGTTGCTCCATCTGTCTACTCCTAATGTTCATAGATTCAGTGTGAAGGTTTGCGTACATACTCAGATATCATTTCATATCTATGTACTCAGGGCTGGTCATGAACACAGCACAGTGATATGGTAGGCGGAGGTGAAGTCATGCCTACAGTCACTCACCTGTTCAACTAAATGCCTGAATATGGTTATCACGCGGGTTTCGTTACATTTAGTTTCAGCCATAGGAGCTGTTTGACATGCTATTGTGTCTCCCATGAAAACGGCCAAAGGCCCCCATTACGTCTTTGTGTGAATGGTTGCATAAGATTTCTAAAATGTCATACATTTTTCTATATTATTTTAAGATATTTCATTTGCTCATGTCCAATTTATTCATGACAAGGAATAGGGTGATTTCTTAGCATCAAAGACATTTAGCCCCATTCACCTGTTTTGGTGTCCACTAAATGTCGAAATCTTGGCACATTATTTTAAAGAACTCACTTTGAGAAAGAGTTTATTTATGGGTAGTGATTCAGAAAGCAAGTGGGATAGTGAGAGTAACGAGTTGGCTGGCAAAGCGGAAGGAGAGGGGAAAGGGTTTGCCTTCTGTGAAATAGGTTTCTGTTGGTGCTGAATATGAGGCTTAAAAGGTGGTGTGTTGGGCCCAGAGCCTCCCTTTACCTTTTTCTCTTTTGAACTGCTTTGTCTTGTGTGACTGGCCATGCCTCCCATGGCAGCCACATTGAGGTAATATCCAGAACAGTCTTTGTAATTGCCAAATGTGCGCCCAGGCCCAGAAAGGCTGACTATCTTGTTTTACTCTTTGAAACTCCACACATACCTCCCTATCCCAGTGGCTCTGCAGGTTTTGGAGAGAGCTAAAATAATGGACACTATAAGTGCCTTTACTAATGTTTTAGGTAGGACATGGTGAACGAAATATTGGCCAATAGTCTATTGATGGACCATGTTATACTTCTCAGACTACCTAGGACCTTCTGGTTTTCGGATTCATGCAAAAAATGTTGGAATGAATGAACCTTGATCTCATTCAGCGAGGTAGTTCTTACATTTTAAAGCAAGGATAAATTACCAGAATTAGTTAATTCAAATTAGTTTTGTCCTTAACTGTGAAGAAATTCTTAGTAGACACTTGCATTATACACTTATAGACTTGGGTCATGAGGGCTTTAGATCACTTGTTATTGGCTGCTCTCCTCATTATTAGTACTCTGACAGCTCAGTTCTATTTTTGTCTGTTAAGAAGCACATCTCAGTTGAATTTGGTAGGAGTCACCCCTAGATGGGGGTGCATCAGACTACAGCCTCTGTCATTGAAATAAAGCCATTAACTATTGTAGTTGCTTTGCTTTGCTTAATCCTCTGTAGAACTTCTTGCTTTTGACTTCTCATTTCATACTAGGTTACCTTTTGTAAATATTTTATGAAGTGCATCAATAATTAGTAGATGTTTGGAACATAGGATAGGGTTATCTTAGTAGAAAAAAACTTAAAAGGTGGTCAGAAGGCATAAGTACAAGAATCATCTTGGAATCAGTGACAACTCTTTAATCATTCATGAAAATGGTCTCCGGATAATTTTCTTAACTAGTAGTTTAAAGACTGACCTGTTTTTCATGTAAAAGTAGATCACTGAGTTTACATTGTAAATTCAAACTTGCATGTAATCACTTCATTTCTCTGTATTTGATAGCTTTTATGCTGTTATAGTTTATCGTTTTTAATGTTACATTTTATTGAGGTAAAACTGATCTAGAAAAGAATATTTGAAGGATGACATATAAACTTTATAATAAATAATTACATCGCTTGCGGCTGAATATGTCAAATGAGCCTACTGAAACCATTGTGTGGATGATATGAATAAGTTGTCTTTCAATGTTATATTTATTGTAGACCTTTTTCTCATCAAGCTCACTGTGTGTGGGGGGGACGGGGGGAGCCAGACCTCAGTTATACCAGTATTATAATAGTCATGCACACTTTTCAGAGGTGAAAACATGGCACAAAAATTTAAAAAAAAATAAATAAAGCCAAGGCTACTTGAAGGCCTAACTCCACCCATGATTTGCTATTACAGCGAATTCGAGTGCATATAGTTCAGTACTACACCGTTACTAAACAGAAGGGTATGTGCTCAGCTTGAATAGTAAAGCTGATGTTTACACATCTAATTAGAAATTTGAGAGCGAGGTTGTGAGCAATAGTCCTTAGGGTAATATACAGCATGTGAGTTCAGTTTGGATGTGCTATTGTTTAATGGTGTAAATAAATAAAATATTTTTTGGATACATTCTTAGTTTCTCAGTACCATTTGGTTCTTAATTTTAGTATTTAATGAAATTGTGTATGTTTTCCCAAATGCAGAATGAAGGCAGACAGAGACATTTTAAAAGGACCTGCATATATGTAGTTTGCAGGTTTTTCACCTGATAATGTGTAATATTGCACGTCTTATTAAATTCGCTAACAAGTTTGGACTTTGCATATGTGATTTTCAAATATTCTGGTTTATGTGCACTTGCAATTCTGAGTGTAAAAACTGCATGTGAAACTGGCCTCACTCTTATTTTTGAGTTATTTATTTATTTAGGAAGCTTCTATGCCACCGCATTCGCCGAAGCCTCGGGGCGGCTCACAACAATAAATAAATAAATCACAATATAAAACAATATAATTTGAGTTGACCTGGCCAAATAATAAAATAAATAAATAATATTTATTAACAATAATATTAACAATTAACAATTAAACAATTTATGCTAAGAACAACAAAACACAGGGTTTTAATGTTTACAATACCCTGATACGAGACCAAAATGTTTTGGTCGGCCCTCAAAACTGAAGGTTTAAACAAGTTATTTAATGTGTTGAGTCTCAGACCTCACCTCTCTCTGGAACTCAGATTACTTGACCTTTGTGACAGCTCCTGCGGGAAGCATCTACTGGGTGCCCAGGACAGTACGTACCAGAGCCCCCAAAGTTTGTCTGGGCCTGGACAAGATAGCTTGTTGGTTTGAACCAACAAGCCTTTTCTTATGTTCTCATAAACTGATATGATTTTCCTCAAAGAACTGTGGAAATATTAGCATGTAAGACCCCCAGCTCTAGAATTATAATTTACAGGTTTCTTTGGGCCTTTGGAATGTCTGTTCACTGTTACTATTTGTTAAACTTTTGCTGTAGTCTGCATGTGTCCTTCATTATGAGTGCCTGAGGAATGGAAGATGTTCCTAATTCCAAAATGTGTGCGGTTTTAACAGTGCCCTTCTTTTCGGTACTATTTTATCATCCATACTGACAGAATTTTTATTTTTCTCCTTTTTTCCATTGTTCACCCTACATCTGGATTCATTTTGATCCATGCTCCTGGAAAAGTCAGAAATATTAAAAGAATTTTCTCATGAATTGTTATTATGAGTTATTTAGCTAAAGTAAATCAAAATATTTTAAATGCTGTATAAATGCTAAGTAGCATTGCAACAGTGTGGCACAAATATAAACAGTGGAAAATATAATGTCAACTTTAAGTTTATTCCCTTAGCCCTCCTGAGAGACTGATTGATTGATTTTATTTAAACTTTTTGGCCTGCAGAATAAATGCAGAATAAATCCAGTAGAAACACAAGAAAAATGGCAAAAGCAGAAAATATTCTCAAAAATAGCAAACACTACCAGCATAGAATAAAGCATGAGACTGACAACTCCAGCCACTAACCAGTTTGATAAAACGTAATCCAGAAAAGACCAGAGTAAAACTGTACTGTTTCAGGGTTTTCTTAAAATGGAGGGGTCTGACAGCGACTACTTATTCAAGAAGAATGGGGCCACTACAGTAAAGGCTTTCTCTTGTATGTTCACCTACCTGACTCTCTTATGTGGGTAAATAAGAAGGATCTCTCTAGCTCATTTTATCTATCTATTATTATTATTATTATTATTATTACTACTACTACTACTACTACTACTACTACTACTACTACTACTACTACTATTATTATTAGCTTTTGTATGCCATCCTATTATTCAAAATCTCAGGACTGCTTACAAAATCTCAGGATGGTTTATATTAAAATGTAGACAGGTTGATATCGGCAAAGGTAGTTCCTCAATTTAGTCCAAAACTGCCCAGCTTAAAAGGTCACAAGCAGACCTTTGGGCTTGGAAACACAAGGACAACTGTTGCTGGTGTTGTAAAACACTTTATCAGTATATGATTTTATTTACCCTGTGCTCACCAACACTTGGGTGGCCACATCCTGTACCAGCTAAATTTTTGAAAGATCTTTGAAGGCAATACCACGTACAACACATCACTGGTGCTTGGATAACTGAGGCAAGTTTCATCTTTTCAAAATAGAGCCACAATTCCTGGACACTGCAGCTACTGGGGCTTCCCCTGTTACCCCAGAGGCCAGGGACACCCCCGGACTCCCGCTTGGCCTTTCAGACAAAGAGCAACCCCATTTAAGAGGCAAACTCCAACTGGAGTAGTTGGGTTCCCAACCCAGAGTATCGTTATATTCCCTGAATTAAGTTTACCCATGCCCATGCCAAACAACCTCCAGAAACTGGTTCATAAGGTCAGTGTCTTTTTTGGGATATATAGATGGAAATAAGTGGTGGAGCCAAGCGGCATGCCAGTACTGTTGAGACTTTGGACCAAACCTCTGATAGCTTCTTCCAGCTGTTTCATGTAGAAGGTAAAAATTATGTGGGGTTGGGTGGAACCTTGCATGAGCCTCATCGCTTGCAACAGGTTAACAGCATGGGACAAAAATCCCCGAACACAGGCTTCTGATGCAGTAACTTTGATCACAGCTGATACAGTTAATAGGCAATTACCATGTGAAAATCTTTGCAGTTGTAACATTTATGTACTAGTAAAAATCCATCATGGGATTTCTACAAAGAGTGTTAATAAAACAGTTTAATTTTTGTTTGTTTGTTTGTTTTTGTAGCTATTGGTGAATATGAAGATCTAAGAGAAGAAAATAAGAAAACAAAAGAAGAGGTTTGTGCTTGTTTTTGTATTTCGTAATATTTGAATCCACCTGGATTGTGGAAATTACTGATACATATTTGTTTGCCACCAGTTTGCTTAGTACTTTCATCATGTGTATGGAAATGGGATTACCTAGAGATACCACAACTCAATATTCTTTTATTTTTGGTACCAAGTGAAAATATTTCTATTTTCCCAGCATTTTAACAGTTTAACTTTAGTTTTAATATTGCATTTTATCCTGTATTGCTATGCCTCTGTGATGATTCAGTTGCAATTGCTGTGGTCTTGTCTTCTGTTAATTTTTGCTTGTGAGTTTTTAACTTTTGTTAAAAGACCCTTGGCTATTAGGTGGTATAAAAATGAATTACATACATACACACAATGTTGTACTTACTGATTATTAACTGATAAAATTGACATATCCAGTTCTGAAAAGGAGATCACCCTCTTTAATGCCCTTCAAGCAGGGAGTGTAACCCTGCTTCTCTTTCTCAGTCACTGTGGCTGTTGATACACTCATGCTATCGTCTTAGATTGGTTCTGTGGGACATGTATCGGGTGCTGTACTGTACTGGTTCTGTTTCTAACTATGAGACTCTCAGAGTGGTGTGGGAGTGCACCTCAGCCCCGGGCTCTTGTACTATGGAGTGCCCCCCGGCACCATTTAATCCCCAGTGCTATTCAACACTTCTGTGAAGCTGTTGCAACAGTTATGCTGGGCATTAGAGCAAGGTGTCACCGAATGCAGATGACATCTGGCTCTGTTTCTCTTCAGCTCCTGAATCAGGTGTGGCTCTGCAAGCTCTTGACCGGTGCTTGGAGGCAGTGGGCTAGATAAAAGTCAATAAAACTGAGTCGGAATCCCACCAAGATGGAAGCACTGTGGTTGGATGAGATGTAGGTCCAGAAAATAGCAGTTGCCAGTGCTTCATGGGGTTACTCTCCCGTTATGGAGCAGTTGTGCTTTTGAGGGGGACTGTGGGATTCATTCTTGTCACCAGAGGCTGAGATGACCTCAGAAGCAAGTAGTCCTTTGAGCACCGGTATGCCAACTATGGCTGTTGCTGTTCCTTGATACCATGCTGGCACAGGCACTGGTAATTTCAAGATTGATTTATTTTCATGTGCTATACATGTGGGCTATCCTTAGTCGGGAAACTGTAGCTGGTACAGAATGCAACACTGATGCTGCCCCCTGGGCCTCTTAGCCTTGCCGAAATAACTGCACGGGCTGCCATTAAGTTACTGAATTGAGTTCTGGGTGTTATTTTTAAATAACTTTGGGCCAGGTTCTGGTAGAGAGCACCTCACACTTTATGTCCCTGCCCAGTCTGCGATTATCAATGGGAATACTTCAGAAGGTGACATACTCTCCTGAATTCACCTCAGGTGCACTTGCAGTAGAATATTTAGCATTGCAGCTGCTTTCTCTGGAACGGTTTACCAAATGGTATTAAATAGGCCCCCACAGTTCTGTTCCTCAGATGACTCATCTCTTCACACAGACCTTCTTGAGTTGTGACTCAGCCAGCCATGGCTTGCAACATCCAGTAGAGAGTGCATTTTTCTGCTGGTTAATTTTGTATTGTGCTATTCTATTGCTATATTTACTGTTGTTTTGATGCCTTTGTATTTCATCACTTTGATATCTCTGTGAAAGTGGTATAGAAAACTGAATTATAAATAAAATAAAAGGGAGCAAGTAAAGCGACCCCAGCCCTAGTTCTTATTTTGCTTTAAAAAAGGGGGCTCTGGTAGGTTAAGAACTTGGGCTTGGAAAGTCTATGAACTACCCTGATAGCTCTTTGCAATACATTGACATATAAACAAATGAAAAAATTTATTTGGTTTTCCTTTTAATTTTTTGCTCTTCACAGACAAACCTGAAGCAACACCTGTATAAATTTATTATTTTCTTTCCTCTGTTTTAATGAGTAATTGGCCTAATTAAAGTGACTACATAAGCCATGCTGTGTGAAAAGCAGGATAACAAATCACAGTTTGCAAGCTACAGTTTATACTATCTGTGGCTTGCTGTTAGGTCTGAATTTCCAAGATAGAGGATATCCTGGCCCTTCAGTCAGTCAGACGATGGAGTAGCTGAAGATAGCGCATTTCTTCCTCCCTGTCAGAAAGAACTTTCAGATCTTTCAACTGCTTGTGTCCCTGGGTCAGCAGTAAAAAGGGGAAAGGGCTCCTTGGCCCCACCCACTGGCCTAAGGAAAACGAGCCATTCATTGCTGGTAAGTACAAGAGCGCCATCAAGAGATGATCATCCAGGGGTTTTCCAAACAGGATTCCTAGCACCATCAGTTACTGCTTTTCCACTGTAAACTGCAAGTAGAATTGATGTGGATTTTCCACACTGTCAGAAGACAGTGGTATCACACCCTTCTGGGTTCTGTCCACACTGGTGTGTGACGAATGACCAGATGTAACCAAAGCTCACCCTTCCCTTTGCTGCTCCTTCCCACTACTTTGTGCAGGGAACACTTTTTATTTGTTCACAGTTCTGGAAGATCAAAAGTTCATTTCTCCAGCTTCCACCACCCTGGTTTTCGACTTAAATAAACACAGTGCTGGCCCCAGGTTTACTTCTCTTCAGCTGTAACAGCAACATCCCCTTCCTCCACTGAGCCCACCAGCCCTCCATGCTGTCTCATTACTGACTCCTCTCCACTCTCCAAAACATTTCCTTGGGAGGCCAGCACAAGTAGCCTTTTGAATGGGATGAGAGCTGATATTCTGCTCTTGCCCGACTCTGCAGCTGGGGTCTTCCACCTTGAGATTACCCCAGAAGTTATGAACTAGATAAAATGGTAGCAGGTAGGTGAGAAACAGTGATGCAGTGCAGCCAAAAGCTGACTTGGCTCTGAAAACAAGCTTCAGTTTTTAAAAACATTACTTTAAACATTAATCAGAAAGTATGGAAGAAGCCACAGCAGTTAACCTTTGATCTTCTAGATCTCGGCACTTCCTGGAATACAACTGCAAATTTTACACAAATATGTTTTCTCTAAATCTCATGGATGTGTGTGCATGTGCACATGTATAAAGAAAATTGCCCTGCGCTTCATGTATTTGTGTGCGTGTGTGTGTGTGTCTTTGGGTGGAAGGATAAAGCAAAGAATTATTTGCTAGAGAAGCATCAGAAAGAGGAGAAGGTACAATTGGCTTTGAACAAGGGAGAAGTGCCACTTCAGGCTGTCCTAGGGTCATCGGAACATGGCCCCAGTGACATCATGTTAAACATCACAGCCATATCCCCACAATACAGAATGAAAAGAGGCAGACACAGCAATGAGTAAGGGAACATAAGATGACTGCAGGAGACATTGTGTAGGCAACCAAAGAAATCCTGCAGAGGCAAGCCCAGAGCACCTTAAAGTCTTCATCTGTGAGAGTCCCTGGACTAAATCAGGTATAAACATTCCCCTATATTGTGAGCATATCTCTCCTCTTTTCCCTTTCCAGCAGATGAAGACTTATAGAAATAGAAATCTTTATTGAACTAGGCTGATGTAATCTTAAATAAAAAAGTTACTAACAAGTAGCCTCTATCAAAGTAATGATCCCTCTGATGTGGAGTTAGCTCTTGTCCATGTCAGGAGTTGATTCCAATGGAATTCCTCTCCTTCCTTTCTCCCTAAAAGGGGCAGACTCCACCTTCAGGGAGGTTCATGCTGCTGTGGTGCAGATGGCAGGAATACTGGACCAGTCCATAGACTCACAGAATATAGCACTGGAAGGGACCATGAAGGCCGTTGGGTCCAACCCCTACTCAATGCAGGACTCCCAGTTATCCCTTTCAGATGGCTGCCCAGCTTCATCGTGAATGCCTCTAGTGTGGGAGAGCCCACAACCTCGTTCAGTTGTTGCACTGCTCTAACAATTGCTGGGGACATGAGCACGAAGATGGTATTGTGCTCATGCCCTTCTTGTGGACTTCCCAGAGAGAGCTGCTTGGCCATTGTGGGAAGGGAAAGCAGGACCAGATGGATCTTCAATCTGATCTATGAACACACCATTCCTGGTGTGTTCATAGGTACATGCTAGTGGGGAAGATACAAAAATGGTTCTAACAGTGTAGTCTTCTACATGCCTATTCAGAAGCAATTCCCATTGCCCTATCCCTTCCCTGAGAAAATGTGTGCGTAGGCTGTTGATAAGAGAGGAAGACAAGTTGCTGCTATAAACTTGTGTTTATACAGCAGATTTTGTGCCGGTTCATTTCAGATAAGAAACTCCATTCTCTCTATATGTTTGAGCAGATAGCAGTAGTAAAACTACTTCTCTGTTTACACAGTAATTTCAAACCATCAGCAGCCCCACATTGTGTTACTTAGATCAAGACTGCTGTGCAAATAGCTTATTTTGGATGTTCTCCCATAATCCTGGATGGCATTTATACAAAAGTCAGCACATACATCCTTAAAAACATAAGAAAAGCCATCCTGGATCAGGCCAAAGGTCTGTGTAGTCAAGTGCTTTGCACAGATGGTAGCAAACCAGCTACCCACAGGATGCAGATCTGTGCAAGATCTCCTCCTGCTCAGGGTTCTCAGCAGCTGTGGTGTGCAATTATGCTACCTATGTTAAAGGAGGTTGCACATAGCCAGCAAGGTAGCCGCCTCCCTCCTGAATCTGTCTAATCTCTTTTTTAAAATAATCTATATTGGTGTCCACTTCCCATGGACATGGCCAATAAACTATAATTCATAGTTTAATTATATGCCATATGAAGAAGTACTTCCTTTTATCTGCCTTATTTTCTCTTTAGTCAGCTTCATGGGATGATCCCAGGTTTGAATGCTATGGGAGAGGGAGAGAAACATTTTTCTCTTCATTTTCTCTCTACTCTGTGCAAAATTTTAAACACATCTCTCACATCTCCCATACATGCTCTGCCAACTAAGTTAGTTTTGGAGCCAGGAATTTTCTGTGGAGGAGTCTTCACACTTAGATTATCAATTTTTTGTTGGACACCATGCTTTCTATAACATAGA